TACAGAAGAGTTTTCCAGTTTCTAGTTTTTCATGAAGGAATGGGAAAGCATTGCAGCAGGTAAGAGATGATAAGTACAAAGACAGTGATTAAAATGTACATCACTTACGATTCTAAACCCTAAGAGGTGTGGCACATCAAAGTAACACTTGAGTCAGGCAATTTGTAGGGCAGTAAGGAGGTTATGGCAATAGTCTAAGCAGCTGAATTATTCTCTCTGGTGTATTACAAGTGGCTTTGTTGTATTGAATTAGGGGCTTACTAAATGCAACAATGTAACAAAACTCCTTGGTTTTTTTTTTTCTAGGGCGGTTTTTTTGTTTTGTCTTGGTTTGGGTTTTTGTTTGTTTGTTTGTTTTTCGAGACAGGTTTCGATGTGTAGTTTTGGTCTCTGTAGACCAGGCTGGCCTCGAACTCATAGAGATCTGCCTGGCTCTGCCTCCTGAGTGCTGGGATTAAAGGCGTGCGCCACCACCACCCAGCCGATGGTCCAAGTTTTAGTCCTAAAACCTCCATAGGCCCAGAAGTTCTCAGTCCGTAGGAAACTCTGATGATTGATCAACCCCATTGTCAGAAAAATATAACAAAAAAGAAATAAGTAGGTGATATTAGAAGAGTAAATAGACTTGAAAAACCAAAGTGCTGAGAACTAACTACTTTGAGGACTAAGTAATATCAAAGTGTGTGTGTGTGTGTGTGTGTGTGTGTGTGTGTGTGTGTGTGTGTGTGTTGTAAGAGAGAGAGTCCGTTTTAAGAAATGCATGGTTAATGAGAAACATTGGGATTTATTAGTTTGTTAATTCTGCAGTTGTGGTCATTGTGTGCTAGAGAGCAGTTGTCAGAGATGTACTGTTAGATGTGAGAAAACCGAGGACCTGGGAATTCAGTCTATTAGATGTGTTGAGTAATTGGTGCCAGAATTCTGAACTAGGAAGCACATGCTCAATAAAAATAGCAAGCACTCCATGTGCATGGAAGTATAGACATTTTCTCTAGTGACATGGGCCCTAAAAAAACCAAGAGTTTTATAAATTAACATACACAGTTAAAAACAGAAGCTGCTGGCCAGCTCAGGAGCATACATTACATTGTCTGTGATCAGTGTCATTATTAAACAATGAGGAATATGTACAAATTCAAATAAGGTGGGAAGTGGACAAGAATATTTCTCAAGGTAGAATCAGACTTTTGTTTATATATCAAAGCATGAGAAAGTGTAGTTGAACATATGAAAGAGATAAAAGCCTTCACCAATCTTGAAAATGGGTTGTAGGAGAAAAAAAGTTCTACCCAATTTGTTACCAGATTTAGTCATATTTGTATCACACCAGGTAATATTTTATCAAGAAAAATAGAACAAAACTCAGGCAGAAAAACCTTCATATGGAGGAGAAATAGGACTCTATTTTTATTTTTATTTTTTGTAAAAAAGAAAAATCAAATTTCTTATGGCAGAGAGTGGTGGCACATGCCTTTAATTCCAACCCTTGGGAGGCAGTGGCAGAAGGATGTCTGCTGAGTTTGAGGCCAGCCTACAGGTTTACAGAGTGAGTTCCAGGACAACCAAAGCTATACAGAGAAACCCTGTCTCAAAAAACAAAATAAACAAATAATAGTAATATGTGAAGCTATAGATTTTAATGCCAAAATATTGAAAGGAATATAACACATGGATTTCACACAACTAATGTTGATGTAATTGAAATGAAGATTCAAACTTAAGCCCCCAAATCTTCAGATTTAGTCAGTGTCAATAACAATAATCATCATCATCTTCATCATCATCATCATCATCATCATCATCTTCTTCTTCTCTTTTTCAATCTACAGAACTAGTATTAAACTTAGCAAGTTCCTGAGTACATGAAGATGATTTTTTTAACCTTTGCTTACACCAGCATTCAGGCTTGACATGGGTATCATTTTTTAAATTAAAATATATTAAACTCCTGTAGCTGGAAAGATGGCTCTGTGGTTTATACTTCCAGGAGACCCTGGTTTGACTACCAGCATAAGAAGGGTAGCTCACAACCTTCTTTAACTCTAGTTACAAGGGATTCAATGCCCCTTCCTGACCTTCTTGAGCACTGCATGCTAGTGGATGTGGATTGGGCATTACAACCCATTCACACTACAGGTCAATTCTGTATATAGTCTGGAGTTCCAGTCCCTCTTCTGTTGCTTCTCTGTCCCCTGGTGTGGGATGACTCAACCCTAACAGGCCTGAGGGCCAGCCAGCCCAGACCAGTAATATGATGCTTCCTGAGAGCCAACCTGGGTCTGCCTAAGGGCCTTAGTAACAGCAGCTGAGACATGAGCTGAGATGACCCGGACCAATGAGAGGCAGCCATGTCACACCAGCTGATGTATATTCATCAGACCTTCCTCACCCCATGGGGTGGAGGGTATATAAGGCTTGCCTCTTTCCAAATAAACTAAGAGTGTTGTTTCTACATCTTCCCAGAGTCTGTGTAATTGACTGTGTGCCTACCCGCCCTCTCCCGCAAAGGGAACAGCACAAGACTCTACCACACCCTGGAAGTCAAGTTCAGTACAGAAACATTGAAGACAAATGTAGTGATATAGTGTGTATCAAATAAAGCTTGCCTGGGGAACAGAAGACAGAGCCAGCCACTAGATTAAACATAGAAGTCAGGCAGTGGTGGCACACACCTTTAATCCTAGCACTCAGGAGGCAGAGATCCTTCTGGATCTCTGTGAGTTCAAAGCCACCCTGGACTACATGAGATTGATTAAATCTAGGAAAGAAACAGAGCCAGGTAGTGGTGGTACACCCTTTAATCCCAGTACTTGGGAGTCACATTCCATTAATCCTAGCACTTGAGCTCTCATGCCTTTGCTAGCAGTATTTGGGAAGCATACACACCACTAGTTCCAGCACTAGGAAGGAAGTGACATGGCTGAGCAGAGAAAGGCATATAAGGCATGAGGAGACAGGAACTAAAGCTTTTTTGGCTGAGGACTCAGAGGCTTTCATTCAGAGGATTCATGGAGATAGGATCTTGCCTTCCATTTGGTCTGAGGAATCAGTAGCAAGCAGTGAGAAGTTTCTCTAGTGGCATGTTCCTTTGTCTCTCTGATCTTTCAGCATTTCCCCCAATATCTGGCTTCAGGTTTTTATTATAATACCATTTAAGATTCATACAACAGACCAATTTTGGTTTACTGTTTGGAAACTCATCTCCATTTTCACATGGTATATACCGAAGATGTGGGGATGCAGATAAATAAAAAAAAAATGTGGGGATGCAGATGAATAAGGCACTGTCATTTTGTTGTCTGGTTAGCTCTTCTGGCTTGTAATGCTGATGATAACATATCTTATCAACTTGCTATCCACAGTTTTTATTATCACAATGTGATTCTGCGTTGTCTAGAGTACCAGCAAGCTATACTTAAACACTTAATATAATTTTATGTTACATAGCTCTGGGGGACAGAAACAGGTTTCACACAATCAACTGTGAAGTTGAAGGTTTTGGCTCATTCAAACTGCCGGGTATAATTATTACAGAATTTCAGTTCAATTAACCAAGAGCACTGCTACTTCCATGAGATTCCTTAGCCATTTGAAAGACTCAAATCCAGGCTTCCATTTAATGTATGAATCTCTTTGAAAATTTAAGCCAAGTGTGTTTACATTAGAATTGAAGTCATTTGTTCAGATGTTTAAGAGAAGTATTCCCTGCTAATTCAGTGTCACTCACTGCAGTGGGATCTTCATTTGATATCCACCTTGTCAATCACTTTGTAATTGCAAATGTCAGCATGGGGACTTCCCATGCTCAGTAGTGTTTGGCCAGAAGACATTTACTACTTATACTAATGGTAGTGTGTCATACAAGGATAAAAGCCACTTGTGTACATGCCTCCATTGCATGGTACTTTACCAAAACAACGCCCCAATAATACTCTATCACTAGGGCATATTGTGAAGGTTCTAAATATTTAACTTTACAATTAGTACTTCACATCTTTTTCCAGTTATGAAGGTCTATATAATTCTTCTCAAGTCCCAACTTGGAATCCACAATTTGTGGATTAGAGTTAAAGGTCATTCTATTCAATTTTATAGAAAACCATACAAAGTAAATTTTTCTTCTTCCTGCATGATGCTTTCTATAACATCTACATTATTGGAAAAAGCTAATACATTATAGAAGTGAAGTGGCTTTTACATTGTATTAGGTAGGGAACAATGATTATATGTTTAGTCTTGTATGTTGAGTACAGATACAAACATTTTTTTCTAAATATGTGTGATCTATGTTTGGCTGAATGTGCAAATATAGAATCTGAAAAAACGAGGGTCAACTCGTCTTCAAAATTAAAATACACCAAAATTATTGCAGGACTGACAATTCCCATCAGTAAAGATCTGAATCCAATGTTGACATCTAAAATCTTAGAAAGTTGTCACCCTGTTCTGTTCTAAAAAACCACCAAAAAAGGGGGAGAAAAAACTGAGAAAATAAACAATATTTTTCAAAATAAATATTTTTTGAACCACAAACCTTCACTGTGAAATTCTATATAGAGTTTTTTAATACAATATAGTATTTTATACAATGTAGTATCCTCACACAACTAGTACACAGACCCATGATAGAGATTAAAGGAAATTGAGATTGGAGGGCAAAAACCATTGACAAAAGTTCATTGCTCCAGTTATAGGACCATAGGTAAGATCTGCTGCCCTGAACCAGACTACTGAATCCACAAAGCCATAGGAGATTTCATGCTATCTTCTCAAAACGCTGGGGACTGTGTGTGGACTAGCATGAGGCAGACAATCTTGTGAGACAAATTCTTAATGAAGTTCATAAATATTTGCAGGAGTTATTTCCAAGAATACTCTCATGCTCAAATCCTCACAGTTGAAAACCAGAGTGTGTTTCTGGGTAGTGGAAACACAAGTACTTAGAGATAAGACAAAAGCATGCTTTGTTACAGTGTATATTCCAGAGTGAAAGATCTTACCAGAGCTGTGAGCTGTGGCATAAATGGAAGGCATGGGCTTTCCAACCAGCATCCTTTCAGTTTTCTGTGTCACTTAAAGGATGAAAAAACAAAAAACAAAAAAGAACAAAAAACTGAGATTAATCAAAAGTTTATGAAATAGTCTCCTCTCTCATGTTTTACTACAAAATCATGTCTGTATATTATGGGGTTACAGCTATTTCAGGTGCAAATAACAAAATCCATTTAAGAAGAAGCTCTTCAGGAAGTCCCAAAGCAACAGAAGGGGTAAAAAAACAATCGTAAAACACAGACAAAAAGAAGCAAAAGTCAGTAGAGGAACTTAAGTTCTCTGTAACATACAACTTATATTACAGTTTCAAATAACTTCTGCTGCTGATGAATTGTAGGGAGGTTCCACATAGAAAACCATCTGAGAACAAAAAGAATTTTATTTGTTTTCTATCTGTGTCTTACTGTAGCTGAAAGTTTTCCTGTGTCCCACCCAGTCTGGAGCTGCTCAGACCCAAGTAAACACAGAGGTTTATATTAATTAAAACTGCTCAGGCTTACTGCTGACTAGCTCTTGCACTTAAACTCATCCCATTTCTGTTAATCTATATGTTGCCACATGTTCTGTGGCTTTACCTGTGTGCCATTACATGCTGCTCCTTGGATGGCATCTCCTGACTCAGCCTTCCTCTTCCCCTAATTCTCCTTGTCTGCTTATCCTGCCTATACTTTCTGCCTGGCTACTGGCCAATCAGTAGTTTATTAAACTAGTGTACAAAAGCATTATCCCACAGCATCTTACCATTCCATTGTCTTGTTGCTCTAGTTAAGTCTTCCAGTATATATAGATAGAAGCTATGAAGGTTGTGGTACTTTTCTTATTTCTGGTCATAGGGGAAAAGAGTTCAGCTTCTTATTAAATTGGATGAAAGTTCTAAGATAATTTTCATGTTCTTAATCTAGCTGTGGAAGTATCCTCTATCCTGTTTGCTGAGAGATTCTGTAGTGAATAGGTGCTGAATTTGTCTATGATTTTTTCTTGTATGAAATAATGTAAATATTTGGATGTTCTTCTGAAGTAGTATTGATTTCCTAAAATAATTTCTACTTGATTATGGCATAAAATTCTCTTTGTATATTGGCATGTTTTCAGTGTTTTAAATACACTATCATGAAATAATAATGATTAAGTTGTAAATATGTAGAATGAAGTCATAGTGTCATTATTTTCACATATACTGAATAATTACTCATGCAGACTTTCAGTTACATATGATATCTTGGAAATGTACAATTAAACAAGCTTGTGGTCAACAGAAAAGTGTGGTCAATATTTTCCTCCACATTAACAAAATGAATCAGACATCCATTTCCTTGGCCTTAAGCGAAAAAGTGAATGAAATTTCAACTGCTAAAGGATTCAAAAAATATAAGGAAGAAAACTATAAGAAGAAAAGGTTTCATATCAAAAAATATCCTAGCATAAGAAAATAATACTTAAAAAATAAGACCATAGTGATAAAAAGATGTTTTAAAATATCTTTATCTAGTATATCAGGATATCATTCAATATAAAATTTAAAAATATTATTCATTACAGAGTATTATATATCTTTAACGTTTGTGAATTATAAAGCATATGAAAATCCAGAGTTTAATGATACTGAAGAGATCTAGAAGGAATTCAATTTCATGACATTAATATATAAACACCAAGTCAATTTTTCCTTGAAATCAATATGAGCTATTGTCATAATACATTAGTGAAAAACTAAGTTAAAATGGCTATAATAATTTGACCGCCTGTGCCAAAAAATAGTGGTCTATTTCCCTTTCTCTTGAGTCTAGGCTGGGCCCACAACCTTCCTTATCACCATAATACACAGCTGTGCCTCTGTCCAGTGGGTGAATGCACAGCTGTGCCTCTGTCCAGTGAGTGAATGCACAGCTGTGCCTCTGTCCAGTGAGTGAATACACAACTGTGCCTCTGTCCAGTGAATGAATACACAGCTGTGCCTCTGTCCAGTGAATGAATACACAGCTGTGCCTCTGTCCAGTGAGTGAATGCACAGCTGTACCTCTGTCCAGTGAGTGAATACACAGGTGTGCCTCTGTCCAGTGGGTGAATACACAGCTGTGCCTCTGTCCAGTGGGTGAATACACAGCTGTGCCTCTGTCCAGTGGGTGAATACACAACTGTGCCTCTGTCCAGTGGGTGAATGCACAGCTGTGCCTCTGTCCAATGAGTGAATAGACAGGTGTGCCTCTGTCCAGTGAGTGAACAGACAGGTGTGCCTCTGTTCCGGGGGTGAATACACAGCTGTGCCTCTGTCCAGTGGGTGAATGCACAGTTGTGCCACTGTCCAGTGAGTGAACAGACAGGTGTGCCTCTGTTCCGGGGGTGAATACACAGCTGTGCCTCTGTCCAGTGGGTGAATGCACAGCTGTGCCACTGTCCAATGTGTGAACAGACAGGTGTGCCTCTGTTCCGGGGGTGAATACAGAACTGTGCCACTGTCCATTGAGTGAATGCACAGGTGTGCCACAATACAGTGTGTGAATACACAGCTGTGCTACAGTCCGGTGTGTGAATAAAGCTGAGTCTTTAGTTATCTGTGTTCCTTTCTGTCTTGTGCTAAGGATGTTTCCACTTGATGTCTATAAGAATGTTTTGAATCAAGTAGGGATGCTATCTGGATGATGTCCAGTTTGCTTGGGTTAGCCATGCCATCTATGAATCCAGACAATAAATGTCAGCCAGTGACTACTGGCCATGTTGAAAGAGCCACTTTAGGTATCCCAGTCCAGTGAAGAAGCCTCCCAACGGTAGCAGCAGCTGGTACCACATGAAGCAGAAGCTCAATGCAATTTCATCTGGTCAGTACCCACCCACCCACTTCATAGTCACATACACAAACTCATAAGTGGAAATACATATATTGCAATTTAGAACCCCTTAAGTTCTGGGCTGGTTAGCTATGCAGAAGGAAAAGCAGAAACAGGGGTGACAAAACTTCAGTTTGATTTTAAGTGGATAGTGACTCTGGACTTGTACTGCTTTTGATCCTTGCTCGGATAGCAGTTCCCTGACCTCTGACAACTCACAATTCACCCTTTGTCCCCGAGTCTCGATTTCTATAGAAATGCCTTCATGGAGTTGTTGTGGGAATTGAGCAGTGCCCGCTCTTCTCTTCTTCAGTGAGAGAGCTGAGGAAATGGTTCCGTGAATGGGGCTGTTGTGGTTTTGCTCTTGCAAAAGTTGTTAAACTGCCCTGTATTTATATTACACGCAGTTTTAGTCTACAGAGGGCATACAGTATTCAACAGGAAATGGAGGTGAATAAAAAGCTTAAGATCAGAGCTAGCCCAAAGTCAATAAATACATTTTAAGGGATACTATTTATAGCATCCCTTAGCAATAGTTTTGGACAATAATATAGTTTTGAAATGAATAACAGTTTGACCTGTTTGTTACAAATTATTTTCTTACACTAAATACTTTGCCTTCTGCCTACCTTTCAAGCATGTTCAAATTAATATACTTATCATTATGTTCTTATGAAGCTAAAATATCTAAAATCAGTTATCTATACTTGAAAGTGATGGTAGAATTGATATTGCTTTTTGCTTAATAAAAATATTGATTAATCTATTTACCATAAAACTGAACTAGTGTCATTTACAAAGCATGCCATAAATCACAGAAGTCATAGATGTGTCTCAGTCATATTTCGTTACATGCCTCATTTTGTTCTTCATTTCTCAACTTGGATTTCAGCTTCTGACAAGAACTCTCATTTGTACCAGACAGTCTTATAGATTCTTCCCCACTTAATTACATGTTACAAATTTCCTGATGGTATTCTCAAGCCAGCTCTCAATTTGACTTCTTATTTTCAATGGCTTTTCTATGCCCTTAAGGGAAAATTAACTCTGGACTGGTAGTGATAGTGAATATCTATTTATGTTATCCAAACAATAAGTATTTTTATCTTTACGTTTGGCCAATTGCATATTCTAAACTACCAATTTCAGTTGCCAGAAGTCAAACTCCTAATTTCCTCAGCATCGACTCTTCCTATCCCAGCAGGCTAGGTCCCTTCTCTCAAGCCTGCATCCTAGCCTCACTTTGTTTAGTAGAGAAGCACAGTCATTCTGGCATAGGGCTCTGAGTATTCCAGATACTGCTTCTTACCAACGTGTACATAAAGTACGATGGGCATCACCCTGGATCTTATCCTGGAGATGAGAGACTCTTACTCTAGATGAGTTTCTCTATGCGAGCATAAGGTAAAGCTGTCCTCAACACTTCCTGAAAAAAAAGAAAAAGGAACGGAATTAGGAAAAATTGCACGCCTGAAAAGAAATACGCATCTTGATATTACTTAGCTGTTCCTAGAGTTGACATTTTATTCATTTTATTTATTTTATCCATTCACATGTGAATGCTTGTGTATATGAATGGAGATACATATGCTTAAGGAACATTGTTTTAGTTTGTTTCAATTTCTTAATCTAAGTTGGACTAATTGGAAACACCTTAACGGATATGAACTCTGACTTCATATTCTGATTTATTATGTGAATAAACAGGAAAAATGACAGTAAAATATCACAGAACTTGAACCAATAACTCTCTATGATCAAACAAAATTTCCTGACAATATCAGGACTATGACAAAAGCCCCCTAGAAGATAAGAATACAGGGAAGCAAGATAGCCAATCTACATGAGCAAATGGAGATGTAGTGAGAAAATGAATACATTTAGAGTGCCAGTCACTGCTGGGACCTGTCACAATCAAACAGTTCCTCTGGCTTTTCTTTTAGACAGAAACCCTTCTTCAAAACAGTTTTTAAGTACTCATTCCCTTATAATCTACCTCCCAGGAACCTTTCTAAAAACTGTTTCCTTTAAGATAACTATAATTGATGTATATCATGATAACTAAAAAGCCAAACACACTCTTATATACCTCTGTGCCTAAAGTAAATTTAAAATTTTTATTTTTCAAGACGTGGAGATGCTTTGCTTGACTGAATTTGAATCCGACTCCTAAAGTTTTTCCTATGTCATTTCTTTATAAAATTCAGCTTACCAAGGACCCTATCTTCGTCTAAGACATTTTATCTGAGTACTTAGGTATCTGACATATTTATTCATTCTCTACCACCCTCTAGTGATACCAAACCACCACTCCTACCTCCAGCAAACAAAACAAAACAAACAACAAACAAAACTAGCTAGACTGGTTTACATAGACCTCTTCAGACCTTGAGTGTTCCCTCTTTCTAATTCTCCATTCCTTTATTACTTTCCTCTCACTAAACTACGTAAGCTAGTTAAAATATAAAGGGGAAAGGTTTCTTTAGCTACTTAAGACCAGGCAGGCTCGGTGCTTCCAGACTCTGGTGAAATATTAGATAGTGATGGAGTGAGCATATGTTGAAGCAAACTTAACAACTCATGAGCTAAGAAATAAAATGAGCAAAAGGGAAAAGGCCTGCTCTCAAAATCCCATTTAGTTGCACATCAAAAAAGACCAAGAAACCCTAATTATCTCCTACCACCTAAAGTTTGTACTACCTCCCAAGAGTATCATTTTCATTCCAATTAGATAGTTCTTGGTTTTTCCCCACAATTTTGTGCTACAAATTCAAGGATGTATCATGAAGGTAGTTACCATTGTAGATCATTGGATTTGTAGCCAACAACTCTATTAGAAGTAACCCATTCCTGGCACTGGAACTTTCATTTGGTGGCAAGAGACGTTAGTCGTGGTTTTGTCTCCCCCATTGTTAGATGATTCTATTTAGATTTACGTCACGTATAGATATATTTTAAGAAGCTTCTACTGTAGTAGTTATCCATATGGTCCCTCAAATGGCCCATAGTTTTAGCTGTCTCTTCCCATATTGCCTCCTTTGTCCCCATCTTTATGCCCCCTCACCATTGAACCTTCTGTTCCTGTTCCTCCCTCACCATACACACACACACACACACACACACACACACACACACACACACACACACACATACACACACACACCCCTCCATTCCATCAATAACATCTATTCTATTTTTCCTTTCTAGGGAGATCCTTCAGCTCCCCCCACCAATTCCTTACTCTCTCTCTCTCTCTCTTTTTTTTTTAAAGATTTATTAATTTATTATGTAAACAGTGTTCTGTTTGCATGTATCCCTGTAGGCCAGAAGAGGGAGCCAGATCTCATTACAGATGGTTATGAGCCACCATGTGGGTGCTGGGAATTGAACTCAGGACCTCTGAAGGAACAGCCAGTGTTCTTAACTTGGGAGCCATCTCTCCAGGCCCCTTCCTGTTTGTTTTTCTTTTCTTTTTATTTGTTTATTATATATACAATGTTCTGCCCTCATGTATGCCTGCAGGCCAGAAGAGGGCACCAGATCTCATTACAGATGTCTGTGAGCCACCATGTGGGTGCTGGGAATTAAACTCAGGACCTTTGAAAGAACAGGCAGTGCTCTTAACCCCTGAGCCACCTCTCCAGCCCCCTTACTCTTTACTTAACCTTCAATGAGTAGATTGTAGCCTGCTTATCAAAGACTTGATAGCTTTTGGGGTATGGGTTACCTCAACTGGAATGGTTTTATTCTAGCTCCATCCACTTGCCTGTGAATTTCATATTATTTAAAATAGTGGAGTAATATTCCATTATGTATGTACACCACAAAAAACATCTTACATACATATTAAATAGTCCACAGATCCTATCCAGTAACTGAATTCTCCTTGTCCAATGTGTGTGTTCAGAGAACTTGAATATGGATGACAAGGGCACTGCTCATCAATGAGCTATTTAGGAAGTATACTGAAAGAAAGCCAGTAACTGACAGGACTTGTGGTCCTACAAATGTCAATGAAATGTAAAATGATCCCAGAGAAATCAGCAGCACTGCCAATAATGACCATAAGTCAAAGTGATATTTAACTGCACTGTTAATCAATGAAAGACACCAAGAAGAAAAGTCCATTCATATTTAAAAGACTATAGTCTATGTCTTTATAGACTAAAAGACTATAGGCATAACATTCATATTACCAAGATTTTTTTTAACATTATCTACCTGTCTTAGAAAAAAAATAGACTGCCTTAATGGAGCTTTCAGAATCTGAATGTCTCTATGAAGTTAAATTGAGCATTCTCCTTTTCTTTATATCTCCAACCACATATTTAATCAAAATAATGTAGCTGATGGATGTCCTCCACAGAAGTACCTAGAGGTGATGGACCACACCCAAGATACTCTGAAGGGACATAATAAATGAAGAAATAAGAGAGAAAGAAAGAGACAGAGACAGAATAACATTATTTCAGAAGGGCTAAGTTTTGAATTTTTTTTTTACAAGTTTGAATATTGCTAAAATGTCAGAATTATTTTAAACTATTTGATACACAAACACACAACCTAATGTCTGGGTCCTTCCAAGCACAATAATTGAACTTACAGACTCTCTTGGATCTGAATTTAATTACTAATTTTATCCAATTCAGCATCTAAATTAAAACAAGCCCTGACTCTGATTACATACAGATGCAAATTAGTTTGCCACAATTATGAGAAAATATGTGCTAATCTATAGGCACAGGCTGACGTACTAAACATACTACTTTAATGAGTTTTGTATAAAATAGTCAATAAACAGTTAATATTATGACAAGAAGGATTTCTGCCACACTTTCTAAAATTTCCACAAACGTATCTCTGAAAAATGAAAGACACAACATGAAAATTTACTTTAAAAATAAGAGTATTTCCACTATATGATGAGTAATCATATTAATTATAATGCCTAAGAATATCTAACATTAAAAAATTCATTTTAGAAGATGGCTGCTGGTTAATTCAAATTATTCAGTAGCTCTCTTCTTGATGAAGTTAGAAGCCAGAGATTTTCACTCCAGAGAAACTCTGCAGATTTTAAATGGAAACAAATAAAGGTATCCCAAATGTGAGGAGGAATTAAAGTGTTTTATTTGTTTTTGTTTTTGTTTTTAGAATTGAGATATTCACACTACCAAGGTATAGTACAATAGTTAAATGTAAATATATTGGGAAAAAAGCCCCAATTACAAAAAAACAGGTAGATATTTTAATGAGCACTGCTCTAAGATTTCTGAATATAATGTTTATATTTTAAAAATTCTGTCACCAGTGGAATGTTTTTCACTCAGAATGGTTGACTGGTCTTTATTGAAATAATAGTAAATACAGCTCACATGCTTGTCAAGATGTCAGAAGACAGATGGTTGACAACATTAATAGAGTAGAAAATTCATGATCACAGAAGCTTCCCTGTAAAGGATGCAAACCTTCTGAACTGCTTGTCAGCCTTGACCTGGACCTGAACACAGTCTAGGATGAAGCCAGTGACACAGATTAAGCATGAGTACAGAAGTAGAAAGGTCTCAGAATTTCAGTAATATTCAACATCATATAGATTTGAGACTCGAAAGCACTGGTACTGAGTAGAGGAGTTACAGGAGGTTGCCATTGCTGTGGTCACCTAAGAGTGAAAAGCATATTTAAATCAAGGTCAGAGAAAAGAGATTTCCAACACATCACCAAGTTAAACACATGTACAAACACAATTAGAGCTAATTGCCACCTGAAAATAATTGTCCTTAGAAGAGATGCCCAATAATGAGTTTGGGGAGAGTAAAGCAATGGAATTTGTAATTAGAAATTTTAACTTATTTTCTAAGCTGAAAGTTCAATTCTCAATTTCAGAGACTAGGAAATGAATAAGGAATAGTTCATTGAGACAATCCATGAAAGATATATTCAAACAAGTAGAACCTTCTATTCCTCTTAGTAATATTGTATTTAGCTTTATTTTATGACATCTATACATAGAAATAGAAACATACATGTGAAATTAATGTCTCTAGGGTACTGAGCCTAACCTAGCATCCATGACTTAGTCTGTATGTTATTGTACAATATCAGTTAATGCTAAAGACATTGCAGTTGATTCAAATACATTATTGTGTGTATTTCTGTATGTTGGATTACTATTTATTTTAGTACTGGGAAATGAGACAGTTCATGAACCATTCTAGGTTGAAAGTGTAGTTATTATTCCTCTCAGTGCCTTACTAAAGAACATGCATTGATATTCGCTGAACATCCCTAGTTTATTAAGAACTTGTTTAGTATATTAAAGCACTTAGAGAAGGACATCAATATTTTATCTGTGGTCTTTAGTCCTTGAGTTCTATAATTCAAATAATAAAGAACAGGAAAGCTTACATTCTTTTTTTTTTTTCA